GTGGGGAATTCTGGGAGTTGAAGTCCAGTCATCTTAAAGTGGCCAAGTTTGGACAACACTGAGGTAGAGGCTTGTAGGTTTGTCTTTTCTGTGGGTACTCTTGGAAACAGCCTCTCCCCTCTGCCCCCCTTGGTAGTTAGATGGGCTCATCTTCTGTCTTGGTGGTTAAGCGAACACTAGCCAAGACTTGGCCAACGCTAGCCAAAATAATACATGCTGTGTACAAAGCACTTCCCCGCAGCTGAAACACCATTCTCACCAATGCACATCAAACCAGTCATCTAAAAACAATACGTCTTTTTATTGTTAAGTCAATAAAGAGGTATCAAAATTAAAAGAGGAAAATTACAAGGGACTGAACTGAACTACTGGAGCAGATGAAGGGAAGGAGGTGGAACGAAGGGCAGATGCAACAGAAGACACAACATCGTAAAACACACAGGGCTGCAAGAGGGAAGGAGGGCAGTGAGGAAGCAGCCAGCGAGGGAGAAGAGGGTTGGTGAGAGGCTCAATCAGAAGAACGCCATGTGGGCCAGGGAGCAGAGAGGAGAGGTATGTTGGGCTCTTAGGAGTCATCTTCGCCATTGGCACTGTCTCTGTCGTCTTCCCCTTCTTCGGGTTCCTTGTCATCCCCCTTGATGGACTCCAACTGAGAGAGAGAAGGGGACAGGCAGAGGGGTGGAGTTAGCAAACAGGGAGAGCCGCGCTCCTCGCTCCGGGCTCTCTGCCTCCTCCAGCTTCGTACCTGGTCGTCTCCCCGGTCTTCGTTATCATCATCGTCCAGCAGGTCCCCTTCCTCAGCAGAGTCATCTGCCCCAGCCTCAGACTCCATCTTAACATTGCTCTCTTCTTTTTTAGTAGAACTGCTGCTTTGCTCTTCCTCCGACTTGTCGTTCTTCAGTTCTAGGATGGGAGGAGAGGAGGGCCCAGCAGAGAATCAGAATGCTTGGCAATTTTGGGATTACCACAATTTGGGCCACCTGCCTATATAGCAGTGAAAATGTCTAAGGGGGCCTTAATCATTCCGAAAGATGATCAAAACTTTTTTCTAAACCATCCAACAAAATGTATTTGGGCCAGTAGTTAGCAATACTTTTGTGAACCGGCAGCTTTTGCAGGCCCATTTGAAAGGCTGCTGTAGAAAGCTTTTCCTTCCTACACAAAAGATTCTAGTGAGGCATCTCCTCTCACCAAAGTTGGAGGTAAGAGTATCCTGGGGGACTGGAGGGGGTTAACAGGAGGCATTCCATAAGTTCTACAGCATGAAAAGCCACACTGTAAATAGAGACACCCACTGTGGAAAACTGCCCATTCCTGACATAAGCTTGTCCACTGTCAAAAATGCCTCTCATGACCCTCATTTTCTTCTGCCTGTATACAGAAGGGTAAATGCTAAATAAATGTTTCAAGTGTGCTGTTTCCTAGCATGCATCCCATACAGATCTCCAGGCAGTTTATCCCTCCCCTCCCCTCCCCTCCCCTCCCCTTTCACCCGACTGTTTACTTTGATCCTTCTCTATCTTCTCAAGGCTTTCCAGCAGAGAATCCACTTTCTGCTTAATCTGGGTCAGTTCCTTCTTAATGGCCTGCAAATCATCTCCTTTCACTGCAATAAAGAAAGGAGCTCATTACTGGAAATTCCAATACCCTGGTGTACTAATAAAGCATTCCTACTCAAGAAAACTTACAAAAGAGATTCCCCCCTCCCCCTGGTGTCCTCTAAAGCCCTCCTCCATTATCAAGTGGCATTACAAGTGTCAGTGCAGTAGCAGCCGGATTGAAACACGGAGGGAGGCAAACTTTGAAATATCCAGTTTAAATAAGAGATAAAAACTCTCCCCCATCACATTCGCTGTAGCCCTGGCCCGCCAACAAGTTCAACACCTACACTTCCCAGACTTGGAGGACGATCCCCGCTGCCCGCTCTTTGAGTTGAATCCACTCTTGCCTCTGCGAGAGGTGTTGCCAGAAACCCGCTGACGTTTGGAAGGGACCACAGCCCTGGCAATGGGGGGTGGAGGGGGCACTCGTGCTTGGTAGCTGTACATCCTAGGAGAACAAGATAATCCAAAACATCTAGCTTCAAAACTGCTTTGCAAATCCACGGCTCCTTGAGCTTCACCTCAAGCTGGCGTGCAGATCTGTTCCTAGGTTTCTCAAAATACCTTCTTTTAATTAGATAAGCTAACCAAGGGCATTACGTACTCCTTCCAGAACAGCACAGCTCTTTCTGTAGCACACATACCACAGAAATATATCCCTCACCAATAACCTTCTCTTCAATCAAATGAAGATGGCCCAGAACTCTATTCTGTATATCTTTTCCCTCTCTTTCAACCAAAACATTTGATTAAATTCTTCCCTTTAATTTAGATCTTGTTAGTACAGTTAATGGCTATTTATTTTCTTCCTAACTTTGGAAGACAAGTGATCCCAGAGATTAATTCCACAACTCTAATGTTTTGAGGTTAAAGGACATGCATGGATACACTTCTCCAAAATAACAGAAGGGGCCTTAACAAAGAAGAGGGTGGGAGCATTAAATATGCAATTAAATTTAAATGCAACAAATTAAATGTAATGAATATGCTTATGTCCCAGCAATTTCCCTCTCTGTTGTTTTAGAAATTCAAATCTGATAACTGGACCTGGAGCTTGAACCCAAGGTTTTGGGGGCCTGCCTGCAGAACCTCCAAGACCTTAGTTCTGCACTCCTGTTCGATAAAAATTCAGCAGTTTACTGAGGGGGGGGGGCTGTTGCATATGGAAATGCCCAGGAAAAGACCTGTCTCAAACCCATCGCACCTTACTGTCCCAAGAAAGCTGTTTGTAGCATAGGAAGCTGAAGTGTGCCAAATGAGACCATATACTGAATCAGCATTATCTATCCTAACAGCAAGTCTCTGGATTTTCAAGCATTGCCCGCACGCAGAGGATTAGCTTCACCACTAATCTACACCCCTTCCTCAAAGCAGTGGCTCTTTCTCAGCCTGTTTCCTTTGACTGAATTTGCAGGAAACTTGGCATTGCAGACACCTTACTAAAGGAACCCTCCTGGAGAATTCTGTGAACCAAACGCCCTTCCTTTCAATGCTGGCTTCACCTTCTCCCCTTCTGCCGCTTCCCAAATACAAATACTCTGGCTCTTGTTAACTAGGCAAAAGTTAAACTTCGGAGAATGAGCTATACAAAAGAACATCATGTTGTTCTTTAGTGGAATAGTTGAAAAGAGGGTGCAATCGCCAGCCAGAAGGGCATAACTTTTTTTTGAGAAGAACTGCATCTGGCCTTTGAATTGTGTCCTGGAGACAGTAATACCAAAAAAAAAAAAAAAAATGTGGGGCTAAGATAAAATTTAATTAACTTTTAATTAAAACTGAATACAGTATTCCTATTATCCAGTCATATATTTGATAAATCTCTCTCTCTCACTCACACACACGTAATCTTAGCATGTGTAACTGGATAACAACTTTGGGCAGTTTCTGGGGGCCACACTGAAGGCTTTGGGGAGGGGGCAATGGAACCTTAAAGCCTTGGTTTCTAGGCCTCTGATCTCAGTTCAGAGCTGTATCAGAATTAAAAACACAAAGCAGAGCAGAACTTGACACCACATACCTGTCATAATAGTCACGCTGGAAGTCATAATCAAGGTCAAATGAAGACCTGAAAGACAAAGCATGGAATACACGGTCAGGTCTCAGGGAGGCTGGGGACCATAGCCCCCCTTCTAGAGGGCTAGGGACCACAGACAATCCCTTAAGCTATCAGTATGAGGAGTCTGTTCACAGCCCAATATAGCAAAGGTGAAATGGTTTGGTCACAATGCAAACGTGAAAACAAACAGGGTTCCATCCAATTCCCCATTCCACTGCCGCCCCTCATTTCAAAGCCATCTGCTGCTTGGCACTGTGATCTGACAAGATGGCAAGTTTTCTCATCCCAAGTACATCAAAACCATCCTGCTGCTTCTGACAGTCATATGGATTTTTCCACGTGTGCACACATACCCATCTACACAATCAGATTTAGCATCTTGCACCCAGCTGGACAGTAAGACAGACAGAGGCATTGCTCATTCCAGGGCACAAACCAGAGAAATAAAAAACAGAAGTTAAAATAATGAAAACATAAGGGTCCCGACCTGACTAGAGGGGACGGAGAAGGTGGTGCGGCTACTGACCCGTACATCTCTGTGGCCGATCTCTTCACCCCAGCTTTACCCCGGTTCAACTTCGGCTCCGCAGCCAGATTAATATCTGAACAAGACACAGAAACTAATTTGAAACCTAGGATCTCCACAGTCTTTTGAAGAAATTAAAATTCTGCCATATGTGTAATGTAGCTTTTCTCACCCAAGGGGCAGAAACCCTCCCAGAAGTCCCTAGCTAATCGCTGAGGAATCTGGGAGTTCAAGGTTACGCAACTGGAGGTCACCAGGAAGAAGGCTGGCTGAGAACACTGATATCTATCAGCTGTCTCTACTCAAAATATCTGGAAAAGGAAAGCCCACCCATTTCTAAGGGACTCTGTTCCACTTTTAAACAGTGCGGTTAAATACTTTACTGTTTAGTCCAAATTGCTTTCCATTTGTACTGTTCTTGTACTGAGAATAACTTAGCTCTATCTTCTGCTTCACCACCTTTTAAATATTTAAAGTTACCCTTGTACCCCCTTCATGCTTTTATCCAGGCAAAACAATTCCAGCCTTTTAAAACATTTGCCATTTTGCCCTTATACAAATGACCATTATGTGAATATTCTTCTCAAATTGTGGAGCCTTGATCTGAAGGCAAAACTCCAAATATACTTGTCCTAAGGCAACCTATTCATGTTAATTTTTTTAAGCAACTGCATTACTGTCTCATATTTGGCATATTGTCCAATAGATGCCTAGAGCTTTTTTCCACACATACAATAAGCCACTCTTCCTAAATCTACATGTGATTTTGATTTTAGTGTCTCAATACATACATTCAAGCATTTCTCTCTGCATTTCATCAGATTACTTTCAGCCTAGTGTTCTGGTGTCCAGAGCTATCTCTTCCAGCCTTGTATCATCAGTAAATTAGATAAACATTGTTTTATATCCTCATCTAAAACGTTTATAAAATTGTAACAACTGGAAAAGCCTTAGAGACCTAGACTCTAATCCAAATTAAAGTATCCTGACAGAACACATCCAACAAAGAAAAGCCTAACATCTCTCTGGGTAAGATGGTATCCAGTAACACGCCTCCTTACATATTGATGCAGAGCGACCAGTTAACATCTATTGGTACCGTGCCTAAAATGGGAGTGGGGAGGGAGAGAATGCCCCTAACACAGAGGTGAACAAACTGAAGCTATACAGGGCTACAGGGCTGCCATCCAAAGGCAACCATGGAAAGGAAAAACAAATACTTTGTAGAGTGCAAGCCGTGGCATACCATGTAAAGACCAAGGGCAGTTTGGGGCTCCAAGAGCTGCCTACCTAACAGAAAGGGCATCCAAACCATGTAGCATGTTAATAAATACAACATTCAGAGGCTCAGGCTACGTAGAAAATCCCCTGCTTTCCTTAGTTGCTGAAGAAAACCTACTATCACCTTTCAGAAGCAACAGGCTAAGCAGGAGGCGAGAGAATAAGCTAAAAAACCCTGCTAGAGGTGGGTTGGGATACTGAACAGAAAAACATCAGCAACTTTAGCTCTTGCTGGCAGGAAAAAAAGTTGTCTTCAGAAAAGAAAGGAAAAATTCTCTCCAGCAAGGCTTGAGCATGTCTGAACTGGAGCATGCTTTTGTATTTGATATTAACAGGCAGGTCCCAACAACTGTGGGGAAACCGGGGGCTTTTCTAGAAGGGGAAGCGTTGAATTTCTTCTTTGTTCCAAACTCATTTTTTTTGATGTGCCAAACATGACAGGCCAGATGATCGGCAAACACTTGTGAGCTACTAATTTTTGTGTGCTTATTTGTACAATTGTAAATGGCTAGGAGAGGAATTACTCTGGGTCCTGGTGGTGATGGAATTTTAGTAAGTTGGTTTCAGACAAAAAAAAAGTGCATCTCTCTTAAGCCTGTCCCAGTGAAACAAACAAGCTTATATCCAACAAAGCAAAAAGCCAGCCAGCCAGCTGCATGTGCTGTTCTCTACTCTGTTTCCAGGAAAGATGCAAGCGAAGAAGGACGTTCCACATTCTTTATATTTACCTCCTTTTCTCAGATTCCAGAAAGCTCTTAGTCAAGGCAAAGACAGGCCAAGAATAATATCTCAGTTTAGGTAGAGTTCTACATCATAAAAAGTCAACAAAAGCTGCCTTCTGTGACTGCTTGTAAGGCCTACCAGGCAGACCCGACCAGGAATCACCTCCACAGGTAGGCTGAAACTGCTCCCCTCCCCAATATTTAATTTACTTCCTCCAACTTCTTTTCACTCTCTATTTTCTACTCCTACAATACCAAAGATCCCTGAATGGAAAACTGGGGCTGCGGTAAGCATCTCGTTTGCACAGGAAACTGCTGGGCTCTGTGAGCAGACTCCAGGTTGAACAAGGCAAAAGGGAAACAAGCCAAATGTCTGCCAAGAGAACCACGCGAGCAACTTCACTGGGACTACAGAACAGAAAGGTCAGCGTGGACGTCACCTACTTACCAAGGACCTGGCCTGCTATCATCCTGCCATCCTCTCCCGCTACCGCAGAGCGAGCGTTGCGCTCATTCACATACTGCACAAACGCAAAGCCCTTGTGCACCGAGCAGCCAACAATCTTGCCGTATTTGGAGAAGATGGCTTCCACATCAGATTTCTTGACCACGAGGGTGTTGAGGTTTCCGATGAAGACACGGGAGTTCAGGGAACGGGGATCTGTCTTGTTGGTGACGTTGCTGGCCATAGCTCACCCCACGCAGCAGAAATGCTAACCTGCTGCCAGGGCCAGGGAAAGGGAGAGAAAGAGGGTCAGCAAAAGAACTTTACATCTTCTACACATATAACCGACTACAAAGAAAGTACAAATGCACACATCTTTTGGGCGCCATGTGCCAAGAAGCAGCGCTCTCTCAGAAGGAAAAGCTACCAGCCTGAGGCTTGCTGGGAAATCTCAGATTCACCCTCCTAGTGATAAGATACAGCAGTTTTGGCACAAGAATTAAAAAAAAAAAGAATGCCAACACTACAAAAATAACTTTCTTGGAAAGCAAAAATTGAGAGAAAGAAAAGGGAGGTATTTTTACCATTAGCCTACCGTAGTCCACTATCTCCAAGAAGAGATGTGAAAGAGAACTGGATGTATGGGAGGAGTCCCGTCTAAAAAGGCGCGACGGCCTTTAGCACCAGTCAATACAAACTGCTTCTGTTTCCTTTTTTTCAGCGTCAAGCATCTTCTAAACAATGTGAACTTTACTCCTACCTTAGTTCTGTTTCAAGCAGCATTCTTGGGAAAACACAATCTATCACTTCAATACATGCTTTTGTCAATACAAGCAGCAGCATGTCAACTGAATAAATACAGGAAGCCAAGCAGACTCCAGTTCAGAGGCAAATAATAAAAGTACTCATATTATCAAGGGGCAGTCTTCTTTGACTTTTTAAAAAACTGAGATGAATCTATAAATAAAACGTGCGTAACATCTTCGGGGCAGCATGTTCCAACCTTCATCTTCAACCCAAGGACATTCTGCTAGGAATTCTAGAAGTCAGACTGCAGTCCCAATACATATTAGGGAAGAGTTACATGAATTTGCTAATTACCACAAGTCTCTGTTCACAGACTTAGGCTACATGTCAGAGGTGTGCAGCACTTGGATATGGTGCTTTCTATCTGGCATGGCCGTGCTCACTGTGCCTCCTAGCAGCACCTCGAAAGCTCTGACTTCTCCTGGTTTTATGCATGAGCTGTGAAGATCAGGAAAAGGGAATGGGATCTTTAAAGTGCTGACAGACCAGGCCAGATCCAAAGTACCTTCTTACTTTGGATTCAAATACCTGTACATCCTTTTATGCATTTGTGGGAAAGAATATATTTTATATGCTTTTAGGAAGCAACCAGAGCAAATAAATAGCTTATCACTATTGGAACTTCACTCCTATGCAAATGCAAGGGAGGCCTATTTGGTTACAGTCTAATTTTGGCAAGTACCTGGAGGAACATTTTCTTTATCCATACACTCATTTTCCCTCAAGTTGCTCGCAGGAGAGGATTGACAATAAAATGTGAAGACAATGTCTGACTGCCTGCACTCAAAACTTTAGGCAGGACAAAGCAGGGGATGGAATATTAGCTTTGGTCGTTGAAGACACCCAAGTTTTTCTGCAACAAAGTTCTCAGAAGACTGCAAATTCTCTGCCAATCCCAACTCACAGGACTGCTTCCAGAATGAGATGAAAATGGCACCAACACATACATGAAAAGAACTACATAAGAGATTAAAATCTTTCAGTCCCAGCTAATGAGCACACAGCTCTTCACGTGCCGTGCACATATTGATGCACACATGTGAGCTAAAAGCAAAAGCATCAACAAGGTCAAGTGAACCAAGATTAAAAGTGAGAATGAGTCTCACTGCCAGTATTCAGTTGAACACCATGGCTAAAGTCCATTTGGCTGAGGTTCTTTTCTCTTTGCTGCCTGATACTGAGGCATCCCTAAACATGGAACTACAGCTTTGATTTGGCCTGTATGTAGACAGGATTAAACAAATTCCCTTAACTCATTACTCCAGACAAGGCTCCTCTCCTCTACCCCATATCTTGAGCTTCAAAAAAGCCACTCTCTCATCAGTCTAATGAAAAGCAAAGCAAAAGCTTTCTTTGTTTGAAACAGGCTGTTTGCTTCTTTGCCCTCACTCTTCCTGTGGGAAAAAAAACCCTTCTCTCTCTTCAGTTTTTGCAGAGACACAGGTGGAGTGTTATTTACATTTCTGCCTGAATTCTAACCACTGTGGGAGAGGGAGACCCACCTCTTCCTTCAAAGAAAGAAAATTAGAACAGCAGGCCTCGCTACAAATTAAGCCTTTCACAGTACGCACCAGGCAAACCCTGAGTCAACCCTGCAAAAATCTGTTAAGATGAAGAAAAATTCTAGCCCTCCACCCAACCCGAGGGAGGAAAATGTTTCTTTTCTGGGTAGTCTTTCACAATATTTGTTGGGTTTATCTCTTGCCTTTTCTCCAGGAGTTCAAGGAGACCTACGCCATCTCCAAGTTTTCTGAAAATTGTAGGGCAGATCAGGCTGAGGGAGAGTGACATAGTTGTCCAGTGAGCCTTTACAGCTCATGTGAACTCTATACACAAGAGGCAAAAAACTCTGCTCAAGGGAGCCAAACATCTGAATGGGGAAGAAACAACAGGGAGCTTCTATCCCCAGTAAGTGTCTGACAATGTCAAACATGCCTATTTGTTAATATATTCAGTCAGAATCTGCCTTCCTGTAGTTTAAACCCTTTAATTCAAATCTTGCATTCTGGGATGATATCGATCGTTTGTTTAACTTCCTGTGCATTATTATTCCCTCTCAGTCTTCTCAAGACTAAACATTCCCAATTCCCTCAGCCTCTCTTCATAAGACTTAGAACAAATGGCTCTGGCTACTAAACAAAACTGTTAAGTTGCGGGTCACTGCAGCTCCATTTGTCCAAGAAAGTAATATTCCAGCAAAGATTCTAAAACTGTTTCCATGAAAACTGTATTAGAAGCTAAATGTTTTGCAGATGTAGCACACAATCTTTTAACAATATCCCTTGTGCTAAAAAGCCTCTATTACTTGTCACTGAAGATGATGGAGGAACACACAGGCCTATTTAGAAATTATTATCCACCTCTCCTTCCCATAACGCTCTATGGTTAGATCATAACATTTTAAGATACCTCTTCCTGAGAAGGGACAAACTTGACTGACTCACTCTTTGTGACCATTCAGAGCCTCCATGGAGTTCCTACAAAACCTTGGTCTACTACATGAAAGATTTCCTGCATTCTGAAGCAACTAGGGTAACAAAAGTCTATCATGTTTCCCAGAGTACATTGGTTATCATTAATTTAATTATTACACAACTCCCCAAATTTAGTGCCGGAATTGCCTCTATATTTCTTCCCTTTACAGGTAGTCCCCGGTTTAAGAACAAGTTCCATTCCCAAGGTCTGTCCTTAAGTCGAATTTGTATGTAAGCCAGAACAGTATTATTGTGTAATTAACTCGAATTTTTCTGCAATAGGCTCCATTCTTAAAAATGAGTCATTCTTAAACCGGGCGTTCTTAACCCAGAGACTACCTGTATTTACCTTTATGTATATCACTGCAGACAATTACTGTGTTTTGTAATATTTGCACAGCGTTTAGAAAATCTCAGGCACTGCAACTAAAATGTATTATTTTATAGCGATCTGCTATGAAATTCCAAGAGGCTTGCATTATATGTATAGTATACAACTGTGAGCTAGGATGAATGTTTTTTCTAAAACCGGGAGACCATATAGCTCACTGCTAAAGCAGAGTCCACTGCAACTGTATTAATCTTCAACTCATTTTTTTCTTGAAGACCAACCATCTCCCCTAGCAGCTAGATCTACACATTATGCTATTCCATAATGCTATCTGTCTGATTTGAGCTTAGGGTGAGATATGGACCTATCTGCTGTGATTTAGCTTAGCATTAGGTGTGATCCAGGCCACCATGGTTTACTGAACAAATCATGGCCTACCATAATGTGAGAACCCGGTCAAGGACTCAAGTGACCATCTCCTGAAAGGACATTTTACTTATTTTCAATGTTGGGGTTTGAATAGTGCACTCAGAAATGCTGTACAGGTGCATACACTTTAACCAACACCTTTAATAGGGGATGGCCTGGGATTAAGCCAATGCAGCCCCTTACCATCAGCCAAGATGGGTATGCCCCTGCTCCATGCAAGGCTCCGCTGGTAGCTGCCTCTGTTACTCCAGACTGGGCATCCATGACGGCGCTTGTAAGAGAGGGACGGTGTAGAGGAAAAGACCAGGATGGGAACTGAGAGGGCATGAGAGGGAGGGTTGGGGATCTGACCAGGGAAAGGCTGTCACTGCTAGAGAGTGATCAGCACCACAGACATAGTGCAGCAACAGTTGAAAAATTGAATAGAAATAAAATATTAAAAATTAAAAATAAAAAAAATAAAAAAGTGTAGGAACTTCCTGAGATGTTCAAGTAAGTTTTGGAGAGGTATCAGGTTCTGTTCTTGGCAGCCAGGCGATCAGTGAGGGAGGGAAAAAAAGAGTTAACGTGATCAATCCACTTTTTTAAAAAATGTGTTTTAAAAACCTTGTTGTGTTTTCCCCCCCAAGGGGTTAAAAGCCCAGAGTCAGTTAGGATCATTCAGAAAAACTCCATTTTCATCTGGTTAAAAATCAGCAGTCATTTTTTTTTTAATCACCACTATCAGCAACACATCATCATAGTCACAGTCACCACCATTATTGCAGCAATAATATCAATAAGTAACTAGTAACAACGATAAAAAGGAAATCAGTGGAAAGGCAGGAAAAAAATGGAAAAAATTGGAATAACTTACTGTAGCTGAAGATCAAAAAAATCTCGCTGTAAAAAACAAAAATAAAAATAGCCCAGATTAGAAAAACGGGAGGTGTAAAAAGGTCAAAGTCAGTAACGATTTTTGTTTTTTTCTTTCTGTCCTTTTTTCCCCCCCTTTCATGCTCTCATTCCAGCCACGGTTACCACAGAACCAGGCAGAGGAGAGCTCCTGGCAGAAAATAATCCAAGCCCTTTGAACACCATTTCACTCTAAAAATGCCTAAGAAAGGCCAGCTCATACGAGGCTAAAAGGTTCTTCCTCTAACCCAGCTGCTGCAGGGAAAAAAAAATGTGATTTTTTCCCCAAAATTACATTTTTCAATCCAGCTTTTGCTTGACTGCAAGGCAACACTGGGCCACAAAGGCACCATTTTATTAAAATGGCTTGTATTGAGATAGTGGGAGAGGGTGTGCGTGTAGTGGGGTGGGTAGGGATTAAAAAAAATAAAAAAAAGCTGAGCTCCAGTGAAGGAAGGGTTGGGGGTTTTCTCCTTGCTGCCCTGTGAAAGGAGAAGGGACAGGATGAGTCAGGGTACCCCAGAAACTTTGCCCACATCTCCCAGTTTCCCCCACCCCAGAGAACACCAGCTTCCAGTCCCATATGGCTACTCCAAGCTCACAGCTGCCTCTCAGGTGTGATTAAGATGCCACCTTGATCTTGCCATTTCTGTTTGTTGCCAAGGAGTCGAGCTGGACGACTTCAAAGGCACCTGCAAGCTTGTGGTAGGAAATGGCTTGTGCCGAAGCTCATATAGATCTCTAAAGCAAAGATGAGGAAAACTGCGCGCACACACACACGCACACATGCACACACAAACACGAACAGGATCAAGGGAGAAGAAATAAGTTCTACATAAAAAGTGCACACACTAGTCTTCTGCTAGCTTTTCATTAGTGAAAGTCCTAGTACTAGGAATTTCTAGAATTCAGATTCACCAGTCACCAATTTACCTTCTTTCCCTCTCACCAACCACTCAAATGCCAGGTAACTGGGGAAGAGAAGTCACCCATCTATGTTTTCAGTAAATAACCCTTGCCTACTTAAACTATTAACTTTACTTTTCCTTGATATCTCCTCAGTGTTGTTTTCTCTGGAGGGAAAACAGCACAGCTTTCAAATGATCAGTCTGATCCAATACAGCAAGGCACAAGCATCAGAACAAGTCATTTTGGAATTTCTTGGAGAAGAACAGAACAATACATAAATAAACCTGAGCCTCTGCTCAGGTGATCAGAAAAGCTTTTCCAGCTCAGCCTACACAAATTGTTGACCAATTCTAGTTGGGTGTGGCAATGGGAACTCTCCTTATTGTTGGGGCAGGTAAGCTTTTGTAATTGAAAGATGGGTAAAAATGTAACTTCAAAAATTGCAAAAGGGTATATGGGGAATGGTAAAAAGACCAGATATTATTTCACTTGGTATAATCTAGCTGTGGATTCAGGTCCTGGCCTAGAGCAAATCCGATAGCATTTCATTATAATCCACCTACTTCAGTACAAGAATATTGGAAAGGTTCAGCTTTCGTGTGTGTGGGTCACCTACACCCTGGGACCTGTGCCTTTTTCATGCTGTGGACTAAATATGGTCCTGCAATGAAACATTCAGTAAATCAATTACTTAAATCCAATTTAATAGATGCCAGTAAGCAGCTAGTTATGAACCCTGTGTATCCAGAGTGTTCTAACTATGTTGTTGGCATTGCAGTTTCACCTTCTGTGTTGCAACTTCATATACTGGATGGGTAGCAAGGTGACCCATGGCTCTGTTAACACATGCAGAATTCTTCTATCTGGCTGATCTACAAGTGCACTGTTGGAAAAGCGTCAAGATTGTCAAAGCTGTTCTTGCCCAGATGCTGCCTTATCAAAAGTGGAAACAAGAACAAAAAGTAGGCATTGTGGCTTTTAAAGTGAGACTAATCAGTAATCCCTGCAATAAAAACTGCTTTCCAAACTTTCATTTTTCATACCAGGGATTCCAAGCAAAGCAGAGAGAGAAACAATAGCAGGGTGCAAAATACCCCATCATTTCAACTGGTTTTCAAAATATTCCAAACCATCTCCTAAAATTGACACCAGTTATGAGCTGGATACAAATTAAGCACAAGTTCAACAAGGAAAAATACATTAATAGTTTCATCATTTTAGTTGGCAAACACAACATACGACCATTTTTTATCAAATTAATAGCCAAGTAATTCAGAAACTTGCATCTCGCTAAAAATACAAAGAGGCCCTTCAGAAGTAACTCACTCAAGTTTTTTGATACAGAAATTGACATGAATAGAACTAACTCGGTGTTTTCTTTTTAAAAAAAATACAAAAAAGTAGCATTTATTGTGTCAGTCTTTTGTGAGAGCAAATTCAAAATGAATGCAACTGCATTTGTTTACATTTAAGGATACACTTGCATTCCTAAAAATATTATAATCTTGTTCCAAAATGAACATGCATTATCAACGTGCCAAATCCTTAAGATGTCACAAGCACCTATTTTTGTTGCCACAACCAACATAAATGTATATTAGAAATTTGTACAATATATAGCATACAAATAAATGTATTGTCTGATGTTTTTAGGATTTTATCATCACCAAATTCAACCTTGCTAGCCCATTAAAAGTGCCTCATTATGCTAAAAAAATCTGCCAAAATCACTATCCTATAAAGGTAAAGACTTCTGTGAATCAAGTTGTTGCCTGTTGCCTTACAGAGAAATATCTATGTATTCTTACAAATAAGGAGATGGTTTGCAACCAGCTTTTTTTTAATTCAGTCGAATTTACAGGCTTAGGATCTCTTGGTGGTCTCCCAACCAAGCACTACCTGGATTTCTCAGTGCTTAGTTTTTTGAGATTCAGTTTGCTGTTGCCACCTGATGAGGCATTTGGCATCTTGTATTACTAGGCTCTCAATCCTGATTAGAATCGACCCTGAACGCCAATACAGGTCGGGCAGGCACAATCTAGAATGTGTGTCCTGCCTAATCCAACAGCCATACCTGCAAGTGGGATCGCGCGCGCGCGTCCTACGTGTTTTACACATACAGGCAGATATGCACACAATATAACTACCACATATAAATATTTTTGCAACCTTATAAACGCATACATAAACACACAGACAGACACGCACTTTCTGTCGTACAATGGAAGAACCATTAAAGCAGCCTCCCCCCCCGCCCAGTATAATGGTCTCTCCCGGAGTAACCAGACACCCATCAGCTTGGACGACACCAATGAACTGAACAGGGGGGAGAAGGGCGCGAGTCCAGAAGGTCGGCAAGGGAAAGACCACCGCCAAGACCAAAAGTGAGGGGGCGTGCAGGCAATACTATTATACGAACTCCCGTCCCCTCCCCCACAAGCGGGAAAAGAAAAAAAAGAATCGTCGCCACTCTTCCCTCGGGCGTTTTTCTTCAGGCAACGAACTCACCTGGAGGACCCAGATCCAGCAGGGCGCCGCTTTGATTATATAAATGTATAATTTTGTAAATGTACACCGATTCTCCCTCTCTTTCAGAGCTACCCTCGCCTCATTCGCGCTCCGAACGCCTCACAAAATGGCGCCCCAGCCGCCCTCTGCGCCGCGCAGCCGGATCTGAGGGAGCCCCGCCCACTCCTTTTCACAACTCGCCCGCTCTCTGGGGTAGGGGCCTTTACCACAGGCGCGCTCATTGGCCAAAGATCAAGCGCGAAACCAATCAGCGCACGGCGAGGGTGGCCGAGGGGAGGTCGAAGCAAGCTGGTTCGATAAGACTGGGAGGAGGAGAGAGGAAGGAGGCAAGGCTCCAAGGTAGGATAGGCTATAAGCTTTGTCATTCAACATGG